TTCTTCTTCTTCTTCTTCTTATTTTTTCCCGTATCTATACGGGGTCGCTATTTTTGACAGCATGCTTCCATTCTCCTCGGTCTTCGTATTAGTCCCCAACAAGGCCTTTCTCTCTAATATCTCCATCCACGCAATCCTTCAATCTTCTCCTTGGTCTTCCTCTCTTCTTTCTCCCCTCCACCTCCATATCCAAAACCTTCTTGCCTATATAATCATCTTCCCTCCTCATCACGTGCCCATACCACTGCAATTTTCTCTCCTGAACTTTCTTCGATATTTCCGCCACTTTAGTTATTCCTCAAATCCTCTCGTTTCTAATCCTATCAAGCCTCGTCACTCCACACATCCATCTCGATATTTTCATCTCGGCTACATCTAATTTCTTCTCTTGAGCCTTTTTGATGGACCAGACTTCCGCTCCGTACATCATCGCAGGTCTCACAACGGTTTTATAGACCTTTCCTTTCACCCTTGCGCTGATCTTATTGTCGCATAGCACTCTCGACGAATTTTTCTAATTTCTCCATCCCGACTGGATTCTATGGCTTATTTCAGAGTCGAGTGTACCGTTTGATGCCACATAGGACCCAAGATACTTAAAGGTGTTTACCCTTTTAAGTTTATCGTTAAGTAAAGTAACATCCCCCATTTCCTCTTCTCCATTAAAAACCATATACTCCGTCTTCTCTCTACTGACCTTAAGTCCTCTGTCGTCTATCGCTCTCCTCCATCTCTCCAAGTTCTTCTCTATTACTAGACAAGTGGTTTAACTATATTACATATATACCGACATCATACTTAAATTATTATTAAACATTCAGATTTCATTGTCATTTACAACTGCAAAGTATTGCACAAGATAAACCTTGAAACGATTGCGTCCTCACTCCCTCATACATATCCTTCACCAACTTCACATACTTTTCAGACACTCCCTTCTCTCTCAGGCATCTCCACACTTCCTCTCTCGGTACTCTGTCATATGCCTTTTCCAGATCTATAAAGACCAGATGTAGCTTTCTCTGTTTTTCACCATACTTTTCCAACATCTGCCTGACAACAAAGATGGCATCCGTTGTCTCTCTCCCAGGCATAAATCCAAACTGCTGTTCACCAATCTCTGTTTCTTGTCTTATCCTTCCTTCTACTACTCTTTCCCATATTTTCATTGTATGTGACATCAACGTAATACCCCGATAGTTCCCGCAGTCTTGAATGTCACCCTTTTCTTTGTATATTGGTATGATCACGCTATCTCTCCACTCATCTGGTATCTTCTCCTGCTCGTAAACCTTCCTCCACAGATCCCACAGCACCTCGACTCCGTCATCTCCCAAACATTTTCACATTTCTGCTGGTATTATATCCGGTCCTGTGGCCTTACCCCTCTTCACCCTCCTCAAGGCTCTCTTTACCTCCTCCCTACTAATCTCAGGTGCATCCCTCTCGTTCGCTGCCCCCTCTCCGAAAACCCTTCTCTCATTCTCCTCGTTCAAAAGTTTTTCGAAATATACCCTCCATCTATTCTTTATTTCTGTCTCATCACTTAGTACGCATCCTTCCTCATCTTTAATCTGTTTTATTTCCTTGACGCGGTAACCCTCGCTCACTTCTCACAGGGGTCAGGCGAGATCCCTGCGCCTCGCATTCAGGGGACGCCCTGGCATTTTCCGAGGCTACATTCAAATGAACTGTCATTTTTTGGTTTTGGCAGGGTTTTTACGGCCGGATGCCCTTCCTGACGCCAACCATCACCATTTATCCGAGCTTTGGACCGGCACCGAGTTGTGCTGGCTTGCACCCCCAGTGGCTGGGTTCTATTATACACTGTTATTCTTCATTAAAAAGTTCTAAGGGACTGAATAAGGAATTCATTGTTTATAGAATATTATAATCCCAATACTAATGTCTTATAACACGTATAGTTGATTACAATCATGCTTCACCAACTTAGAAAAAGCTTTCACACCATAACAATTGAATAACTTCAATCCGAATATCTTTCGCCATCAAGTAAACCAAGAACAAGGAACAAAATTAATAGATTTTAATAACTAATAACATAATGGTATTTGACGATATTTGCATATTTGTTCATACTTTAGAATATATTTACTTTTTTGTCATTATATTACACTAGCAGATGCCTCTTGAAACAATTCAACAACAATTTTCCCAAGAGATAGTGATGAATAAATAAAAAATGTATAGTGAATCAAATACCTTGGATCATAACATATATGAAATATGATTGTCTAGTTGAACGTTTACAACCATTATTTTTTTGTCATTCCATTTGTTATTTCAATAAAAAACAGTGCATTGCGTTTGTTCTTAAGCAAAGGAGACTGACGGCAATGCAGTTTTGGCAAAAATATTTGTTTTTTGATGCAATGGATTCATCCAACACAATGGAGCGCTGAGGTTCGCTAAGTAGCCACGGGAATTTTTTCACTGAATGCCACCGTTACTTGTCATTTACTGAGCGCAAGAAAAGACCGCTATCGAAGTGAGAGCTT